TAGGGCTTTATCTGATGTATCACTAAAACTTAAAAAGAAAAACTTGTTGATAAAACGCCTACGAGACTCTAATCGTGCACTTAAAAGAAAAGCAGCCTCGATGAAATTATTGCTCGAAGAACTTGAGCAAAAGGATTTAATTTCTGAAGAACACATACCATCTTTAAGTTGCATTGATATTAAGGCCCAGGAGCTTTACAAACGTCAAATTTTGAACGCTTCATCGGGAAAAGTAAGCCGTACCAAATATTCACCTGAGTTGAGAATGTTTGCTTTAACATTAAATTTCTATTCAACTAAGGCCTATCAATACGTTAGAAAAACTTTTAATACCTGTTTGCCCTCAGTTAAAACTTTATCTAAGTGGTACAAAACTGTTGATGGTCGTCCCGGCTTTACTAAAGAAGCGTTTATTGCCATTAAAATGAAAGCAGAGCAGTCACAAAGTCATATATTATATGGGACACTCGTTTTCGACAAAATGAAAATTAAAAACAAGGTCGAGTATGTCCAAAATTCTCAAAAAACATATGGGTACGTCGATTTTGGAAGTGGGCTTAATAATGATTGTACAGATGAAAGTACTGAAGCCCTAGTGTTTCTCGTAGTCCCATTCAATGCAATATTCAAAGTGCCAATAGGTTACTTTTTGGTAAATAAAGTAAATGCCGATCAAAAAGTAAGCTTGGTCAGGCAAGCGATCCACCTGTGTGACGAAGTCAATTTAAAAATCAAGGCTGTAACTTTTGACGGCTGTCGGTAAATCTTGCTATGGCAAAAAAGCTTGGTTGCAATTTAGACCCATTCAATCTGAAAACCACTTTTACCTTAGATAACAATGCCGAAATTGCAATCTTCTTAGATCCGGTTCACATGATAAAACTCATAAGAAACAGCTTTGAGTTTTATAAAGACTTTGTTGACGAGCAAGGCAATCTTATAAAATGGTCATATATTCAAGCATTGCACAGGTTACAAGAGCAGGAAACTTTTCACATGGCCAACAAACTACGAGCTGAACATTTGAGTTTTAAAAATAATATAATGAAGGCAAAATTAGCAACTCAATTGTTCAGTGGAAGTGTCGCCACGGCTTTGCGTTTCTGCAGATCAGAACTGCAAATTAATGACTTTAAAGATGCAGAACCTACTGCTACAATGATTCAGATCTTGAATGATCTGTTCGACATTCTAGACTCCAAAACTCATAGTTATGGTTTAAAGAGAGCCATAAATAATGATAATTATTCCGAAATCTGTCGAAAAATGGATGAAGGCAAACACATGCTACTATCACTTACGATACGCAGTGCAACTAAAACTTTAAAATTGGTTAAATCTCCGCGATTCACTGGATTTTTAGGACTATGTGTATGTATTGAAAGCGTTAAGTTTTTGTATAAGGATTTAATTCAAAACGAGTCTTGCGTTATCAATTATCTTCCCCTCCATCGGATCAGCCAAGACCATATTGAGTTACTGTTTTGTAATATAAGATCTGGTGGAGGTTCAAATGATAACCCTACGCCACGACAATTCGAAGGTATTTATAAAAAAATATTGATACACACAGAACTTCGGACTTCCGGGACAGGTAACTGTGTACCATTAGAAAACATTTCAATTTTAAATTGTTCCTCTGCAATTGAACGCATTAATTATACAACCGGGAGGTTTGAAGAATTAGATTCAGAAATTACTACCGCTGAAGATGACAATGATTTTATTCAAGCAATGCAACAAATCACATTATCCCTTTTTGCCGATAACATAATCGAGTATATTGCAGGATTTGTAGTCAACAGCTTAATTAAGAGGATCAAGTGCAGTAAATGCGTACAAGCATTGGTCAACTTGAGACAGAATAAAAAGTCCCTAATTTACGTCAGGGACAAAGGTTGTCTTATATATCCCTCCGACATGGTGTTTAAAATTTGTAAAAGATGTGAAGTTGTCATTCGAGCACATGACAAATGCTTAAAATCCGAACAGCGAGTAAATCATTTGGTGACAAAAACACTGAGCACATTTACTAATGAAAATTTGTTTCCGGATATATGGATGCATCAATTTGATTATGAAAACACCAATCATCTCATAGATTTGACAAAAAGTATTATGGAAAAGTACATTAATGTGCGATTGACCTATTTGATGAAAAAAAGAGATCCCAGCAAAGTAATTAGACGAATTTATACTAAACTTATACATTTTAAAGGCCAATGAGTGGTTTTGCTGTTTTGCCATAATTGCTGCCGAATCAACTTCATAAACTTTAAAGATTTAATAAAAGTTTTGCAAAAATTGCATTTACGGAAGTTGTATACTTTTTTCGACAGTTCAAAATTACGGTCTATATAGTAAAAAAAAATACTGCATACATATATGGAACTGTGCGTATTCTTTGAGGTTTTATTATTTCAATCTCCTTGGTAGTGTTTTTAATATATACTTTGTCTTACTTTAATACTAAAAAGAAAAAGAGACGAAAGATGTAGTTTTAATTTTCACCACCCACACATGACACCATTTAGAAATGCACGTCACTTTCGTATAAGAAAAAGTTTGCTTCATTACATAGATTATGTAGGTATACTATTTCTCGCAAATGTGTTGAAAAACGTTGTATGTTATTCGTTCGGAATGGTATTTACAAATTCGTGACTATGTTAGCCCGAAACGAATTATCTACTTATAATAACCAACTTACGCGAATATCTTTAATATCGATCAACCAACTACTTAAATAAAAATACGACCGGAGATCTGTGGGGTAATTTCCGTTAATGTTTCTAAATCGGTAATTGAGATACTATTGTATTGGGTCCTACTCTAGTTTGCATATTTAATGAATTTGCTCATTGTTTCATGACCTCTTGAAATAAAATAATATAACTCCATTGCGCACTTCTACGTGTGTATAGTGACTTGTCTCAGAGTTTTGATTGCGATTTTTACGAAACATAACTTAAGAAATGATTTAGGATCAATCAAAGGACCAATCCGGATCTTATAACACCATACTTGAGCGATAGGGTTTAGGGAGTTAACAACATTGGCAATAAGTTCAGGTTTTTTTGGCTCATTTTTGAGACGCGTATCCATGTAGGGTCTCTTTTTGATATCTTTCCATTTTGATTTAATCTAAGGCGAATTGTTATAATTTTTTGTACTTATACAAAAATGTATTTGAATAAAAAAATAAAATCTTCGTAAAAATGTCTTTTACTAATATTTTTTACTGTCATAAGTCCCAGAAAATAATAATTAAGGCGCCTTCATCTACGGGTCGGTGCGAGTTTGTTTTGTTTTCGATTCTGTACCGAATCTGAACAGATTTTTCCGAGTGCATTTAATTAAATGAGAGCTTTCTCACTAAGTGGTTCCTGTACAGAATCTTTACCGAGCGGATACTTAGCTTGCTGTGCTGAGTGCTTCCGAATGCTACCGAATCATTCGACTCGCCCATCCTGTCACTCCCGCAAACAAAACGAACCTGTACCGAGCCGATGAGTAAGGCGCCTTAAGTTTTAAAAGTTGTCATAAACAGCATATTATTGTCTATCTAGATATTTTTTTACGTGTTTTTTGTGTTGCTTATATTTTATTTAGTATGTAGTTACTAGTCGCGTCATGTAATTAGAAAGTGGAGAGAGTATGTTTGCGCATAGCTACACTAGCGCACCAAAGTACTAGGCCTCTGTACAATGGAGATCCGGCACTTTTCATAGAAAAAATCCTAAACTTGTATACAGTTGAAATTGCTCTCAAAATGAAGCCAAAATTATTTGCTACATAAAACTAATTTTGCCTTATTTTTAGTGAATCGTGGAAAGAAGTTATATAATGATTAATATTTTTTGATATGGAAACCCTAAATCTTCAAGGGACAGAATTTTACCTGAAAATATTACTCAAGTGACTGTAAAAACCATGATTCCTTTGCTTTTTCTAAATAAAAAACCAAATGTCAATTTGACAATCCTAAAATACAAACAAAAAAATCATTCGCTCCCGCATACTGTGATTGTGAATGTTATCTGCTGTGATTGCCTTTTTATCCGTTATTTCTCTTGACGACCCGGCTACATATAGAGGTTATATTGATAAACCTACGTATTAGACTACACTGTTTATTTCTCGCGCTTGTTTTCAGAATCTGAATCTGAATCTGAGTGCACTCTGGCCGCACCCTACGTTACCCAATTATGAAACACAGATAAAAAAATTAAAAAAGTATACAACTTTGGCACATAATGCCGGGTGTCCTTTATTTATCGATAGAAAATATCGATATTTTCTAAAATCGATCTTACCCTCATCCCTTCGCTGCAATGAGTATATCATCTGACCTTGACGTGTCCAATCACAACGCGGCTGATCTCCCTGCACGCCGCCGACTTTGGCGATTTTGATTTCAAACAAAATTTGCGTGATGCGGACTCTAGTGGGGGTACTCCGTGTTATAAGGCCATTTTATGAACTCTTTATCCCAGGTAACTTCCATTGCTAGATATCTTGTATCACATATTTAGTAAAGCACTAATCTGCTTCAGTTGGTGTTTAAGCATGGTATTAATAGTTCATTAATACACACTTTGTGTGATGAATGATGTTTTTAAAATTTCAACACTTCCTATTTAAGTAATGGTAAGTATCAGACAATAATTTATTTTGCTTGTTATATTTAAATTACCAAATTGCAAATCTTATTTATGTGTCCTTCCTCTAATTGTTTTTTTTTTAACATAATTTAAAAAAGAAGATGTTTTGAATGAATCTTTTTTCTGAGTTCACACACAGAGATAAAAAAGCAAGTTTTCACTAGATTAAAGGTGTCAGACTTTGGTAGGTACTTATACTTTGTTTATACAGGGGACATAGTACAGTAAAGAATGAATAATATGAAAGTTATCGTCTTGATAAATCTGTAGGTGCAGGTAGGTACATAAGTATGCATCCAACGAAAATTAGGATCCAAATAATAAAGAGATACATACGCATAGATCCAAACTCAGATGCCCTAGATACATGCTGTTCAAAGTTTCCTGGATTGGAGAAAAACTCTCTTAATTGCGGCAGTTCTCTACCACATTCTACAAGCTCAGTGTGCAGTTCAAGTGCTGTCAGGAAATAGTGATCTTTCAACAGCTTCGTGGCAATATTCTCATAGGTAAGATGAGGAGAAGTAGTGAAAGAATTGTCTTCAACATCCTTATAAGGATTCATTCTTGTGAAATAAAGTTTACTTTAAATACACATTTTTATCCATTAGGAAATAATAGTACCGCTCTTCAGAAACAGTCAGTACAATTAAATTCGTAAATAAAAGGTATTCAAATTGTTCTTATCCTTACTATTGGGTTTGGTATGGTTGGTTTACAACAATGTACTCTATGGTTGGTTTGTTGGGTGACAGCTGACCAGTGTTGCTATTCTACAAAGTTAAAAGTCTCCCGTAATATAAATAAATCCTAGATATTGGTAAATATTTTATTGGAATTCGCTAGAAGTCGCTAAATCGTATTGCTGACGCTCTGAAGTCCGTGCCTCATAACTTGGTGTTTCTCAGAGGACACCGATCGTCTGATTTTAATCGAAATGGGTGTCGATTCTGGCGTGATTCTTTTTTCTCTCTATACAAAACGAACAGGAGAGACTAACCTTAAATTTAGTTTTAAGTTTAGAGAGTCATGCCAGAATCGATACCATTATAGAACCAGAGTAATACGGGCAGCTTTGGGTGAATTCTGGAAACAAAGCGACACTAGCGCCTCTAGCGGTAGGAGGAGAACGATTTGTAATGTGTTTTGCGAGCTGCTACTAAAGCATTATAATAATAATAAGTATTTATTTACCCCAAAAAATACATGTAGAAATACAGTAAACTTAAAATCTGACATACAGTAGAACGACGATTAACCGAATTGAAAATTATCCGAATCGGTCCTAAGCGTAAAATAAAAAAATGAAAACCAAGATAGTTTTGTTTTGTTTTGTGGTAACAAGTTGGAACTCGCTGGAATCCAGGTATATTTCAAATATTATGGTTGAAAGCTAGAGGTAAGACACATGTACCGCTATCATTATATTATGTATTGTAGAACTGGATTTTGTAATTTAGCGGAACTATATTATTATTCTCGGTGTTATGTTACTGAATTTGTAGAATTATACCGGGATTGACCATGATTGAATTATGGATGGTTAACAGTAAATATTACTTAAATAGCAATTTAAAATCACAACGTTGTGAGATTTTGCCTCTTCTCATTTATATAAACGACTGCTATGCTAGCAACATTCGATACTTTTCTACAGACATAAAATTAAGCACAAGCAGAACACTAACGGGAGGTACTAGTATGTATGTACACTTCTACTGCGAAATTAATATTAACAAATCGCTACAATGTAGACCCATAAGTCATAAATCGCTTGCGAGTCACCGTCGATCAAAGTCGCTACGTGGAGACCCAGCTTCAAACTTATTAATTATGTGTGACAGTTCGTTCTTCTTTATAACGTGTCTATGTCCGATTATTCGCATCGAGTCCGGTCCCAGTCCCAATCAATTCAGATAATCGGCGTTCTCCTGTTATACCAACTTTTTTGGTAACAAAAAGGGAATATGTCATAGGTGATACTGTGAAATAAAATTTGCTGTGGTTTTGTCTCACGACCAAGTTACGACCGTCTGCGCAACTGAAGAATTAGTGGAATCTTTAAAATATATGCTATTCCGGTCAAGTATCCAAAGGCAACGTGAAAACTTTATTGTAATGTTGACTACCTCACAGAAGCTTATCAGAAAAGCTAACTCTATAGATTTCATGCTAAGCACTCCAAAAAAAATTAGAATGCGTAACACCCACATTGTTATGTAAAAAAAAGAACAAGGAAAACTGAAGACTATGCTGTATGTGTATTGTTTCCTTTGCCTTCCCTAAAAAGGGGAGAACATTAAAAAAACTACAGCGCTGACAGTTAGATTGACAAGTAGTTTTGGAGTTTGTATTTTATTATTACTAAACAATAATAATAAAACTAGGTTTTTAACGAATGCAACAGAAAACAGTGATTTGTGATATTTAAAAATTAAATACTTTCAAAAATGAGTGAAGACTATTTTAATTTAAAACGCAAACTTGAAGACCTCGGTTATAACAATACTTTACCAACTGACGCCGTCCCGTTAGTAGAATGTATTCTAGCGGATTTATTACAAACTACTCGTAGCCTACAGCACTACATGGATTTATCGAAAGAAGCTTTATTGCAGCGTGATTCTCTAATGTTAGAGGCAGAACCATATAAATGTGATAATGCGAAACTCATAAAGGAGAACAATCAACTTCATAGGGAGGTACTGAAATTTAAAGAAGAAAATTTAAGATTATCTAAAGAATGTAAAAGAAAGGTAAAACATTTATCAGAAGAACTTTCAAAGAAAGAAACATCTCTAAGTAAATTACAGCATGAAATTAGAGACTTGAGCTTAAGGGGTTTATGTGCGGACACTTTAAGTAGTCGTATCAAAAGAAAGGATGGTGGTGATACACATGCTTCAAAAGTGTGTATTTGTGGAGATAAAAAATCATGGGAATTTGATAAAGATACTTCAGAGCTTACGAAGAAGATACAGTTACTGGAGGAGAAAAATGAACTTTACTCGGATGAAATAATTTTGCTGAAAAATCAGATTGAACATCGGGATAATGAGATAATCAGACTTAATATTTCTTTAGAAGGAGGTCGTCCATTAAATGCACTTAACAAAGACTGCTGTAAAACAAATTCCTCTATTACAGTTCAGGATTTACTGAAGAAATTACATGAAATGGAAACTGCTTATGATCTTTTGAAAAAAGAACATGAAAATAGTTTGGACAAACAGCATGAAGCTATGTTAAGAGCTCTTAACCTTGCTGATAAAAATAAAGCTTTACATGATGAATTACAAAAAGTGGATACATTAGCTTTAAGAGTTGAGGAGGATTGCAATAAGAGATTGGCTACTACGATGAATGAGATAAACTTTTTACAAACAAGAATAGAAGGTCTATGTATGAAAAACACTGAATTAGAAAAAGAAGTTTCTCAAAGACATTTGAGAGAATATTCTCCCAGTACACATAAAGTACAATCATTGAATATGGTATTAAAAGAAAAAGAGGTTTTACACAAGGAAATAACTGATTTAGTTGATCTCAATAAAACTTTACAAGAGAAAATAATATTACTTTCACAAATAAGTAAGGAGGCCTGTAAACTAAGTACTTTGAGTGATGAACAACACAAGTTAGACTATCCTTCAAAAAATGAACTGATAAATCTTCTGGAGAATGATAGGAAAAAATATGAAAAACATATGATTGAAATACAGGAAAAGTTATCTGAAACCATGAGTCTTTTTAGTAATCATTTTGTCAAGTGTAAAGAGAAAGAAGCTCCAAAACATCAATACCTTCCATATGATAGTAGCTTTGTTAGGGATTTGCAAAATAATCTGTGTGACAGAGAGCAGAAAATCCTAATGTTGACTAAAGAAAATGATGATTTAAAGGCCAAATTGCATGTTCATGATGAAGGTCATAAACAGAACTACAAAGACATCATTAGCCAATTGAATGCTGAAAATACTGAACTATCTAAGGAGAATATTTCACTTAGTCACCAATTAAGTCAGTGTCGAAGCTTACAGTCTTTAAAGATTAATGAAAAAGATGTTCCAAAATCTGTTGAATTACAAAAACTTAAAGTTAAAATTAATGAATTGACTTATGAAAACCAATTACTAGTAAAAGACAAACAAGAATATAAATTGCGATATAAGGATGCAATAGATACAATAGAAAAATTAAAAGGTGATATAGCATTTAAGCAAAGGGAAATTGAGCAAGTACAAGAGGAGAATTCCTCATATAAAATGTCACACAGAAATGGGAAAGCTTCAGTAGACCATCTGAAAGAAGAGTGCAATTTTCTGAGAGACCAAATTAAAAGAATGCAGTCTGATGTTATTAAAGAAAAAACATTAGCTAATCAAATAAAAAATATCCAATTAGAAACAGAAAGAAGTAGTAATGAAATACAAAATGAATTATTGAGTGCTCAAAAAAAGTTTGCCTTATCAAAAGATACTATTAATTCACTAGAAAAAAAATGTACTGATCTACAATCAGAAATTTTAGTATTAAGAAGTGATAAATCAAATCTAATTGAAAATATAAGAAGGTTTGACCAGGAGCGTGATAAGTTGGTAATAGAATTGGATAATAAAACAGAGGCTACTAGTGTTCTTGAACAAAAGTTAAAGTCACAAACATATGAAATAAGTCAATTGGAAAAGGAAATAGCAGAGTTGAAACGAAAATTAAATGTAAGTAAAGTGGCTGAACATAAGTTAGTAGATAACGAAGCTCAAATAAGTTTCTTAAACAGCGAAATATTAAGGCTCACACAACAACTTGAATCAGCTGTTATAGAAAATAAACATTTACAAAATAGCTTAGCTGATGCAAATGGCTCTTTAAAACTGGCAAATATTGAGTATGAAAAATCTAGAAAGGAAGTTGATGGATTAAAGCAGCAACTACAGCATTATGTAGCAGAAATAAGGCGAATAGAAGAGTTGCTATCACGAAAAGAGGCTGAAAGATCTGATATGTTAGAACAATTTGCAAGCTTGTCAGTTGAAGCCAATATTTTGGAAAATACAAACCATTCATTAGAAAGTGAATCTGCATCTAAATCTATGCAATTACAATCATATATTACTAAAATTCAGGTTTTAGAATCAAAACTGTTAGATAAAGAAAGTATTATAGAAAATCAATCGGCTCATATTTCAACAATGACATGTAAAATCACTTCATTAGAAAAAGAAATAAAGCTTGTTAATGAAGAGAAAGAAGTTCTCCAACAAAATATAATATATTTAAAACAAATGTATGGCCATTTGCAATCTGAGCACACTAGCAAATGTATTGGAGAATCTGATTCTGAGCTCAAAGTTTATGAAAATAGAATAAAGTCTTTGTCTCATGCAAAAACTATTTTAGAAGTGGAAAAGGAGGAGAACCAGGAAAAGTTGATGACAACCGAAAGATTATTAACTAATGCCAGACAAGAAATTGTAGAACTGAAATTGGCTTTACAGGATGCAACTTCAGAAACCAAAAGCTTACAAGAACAAGTAAATAAGTTGAGCAGCAGAAGAGAGGCAGATGCATATGAGGTAACTAGTGTTTTGATATTTTTGGTATATGAAATTGTGACAGTATTTTATATAAACATAATTTTGCAGGGCAATGTATCTAGAGAAGAATTGGAACTACCATTAATGTTAGAGGAAACGATACATGAAGTAAGTCATGAAGAAGATGAAGAGAGTTCTAGATACCATGAAATCCATAAGAGATTATCAAAGTATTCCCATAGTGGTACTATTTAAAGGGAATAGATTATAGAAGCAATCTTTTCCTCTGAATATTTTGGTAACGTGGCACTTTGTGGTACCATGCCTTCATCGTTTGTTCGTCTATGTGTCCTTTAAACTATACATACCACTTCCATCGTGCGTTGCGATTTCGAAGAAAAAATCTAAATGGCGGCGGGCTCCATGTGCCACCAGCTTCCATACAAAAAAGTTCTAATACCTTTATAATAAATACATACAGGGTATACCAATTACTACGACTTACTATTTATTATTGTTACTAGTAAATATAGATTATAAAGTCAATGCATTTTATTTTATATTTATTTACATTTCATTCATTCATAATTTAAAGTAGGTTGGTTTAAAAAAAAAATGTGCACGGACGCATCGGATTGAAACTTCTGTTTTTAAATAACCTAACATTAGGCGGTGCATAAGGGAATTAAGCAGTCGTGTGATGCTCGTGACTCATTTCCGTTTCATCTTTTCCATAGGAGTTTTCCATTTACACCCCGTCCGAAAAGAAGTCTCACTTCAATAATATGTAGGTAAAACCACTAAAGCCCGCTCAAGTGTTCCCTCCTTCTTACAACCTGGGTTCCTTTAAAAGAGGCGTGAAGAAGCAACATGAATCCCGGTGAGGATGGCTGGTAATTTGTCGGACCTGTACTAGCTACTTTCACGTCTGGACTTCACCGTCACTTAAAATCAGGTGCGGTGGAGTCCAAGGAACTCATATACTAACTGGAATGCTTACACAACCCTCAAAATCGTTCCGAAGAGCAAAGCTGAATTGGTGGAGTGTGTCTCGTTCTAGTAGTGTACCCAAACAGTTACTTCATTGATGAGACAATTAATTTTCTTTGAGTGAATGAACCTTCTAATTTTCTGAAATGAAATGAATTCTTTAACATTAGCTTGAAAGTCCAAAAAATATTAAAATCTTACAAGACCTTCCGAGCTTATAAAGTATGTCGCTATATGTATTGCATCTGTTTTTTATCCAACATTGAACACGATTAACGGTTCTCAAATTTTAATTTGTCAAACGATACGTTTTTCAATAAATCTTATGTATACTTTGGATACCTACCTAGGAAAAGAATTAAAGTATAACCACTGAATAATATTTAATTAATTTATTATTTAAATTACAGATTATTACTTTAAAAGCTTTAAAAAACACGATGCATCGTTTTATCAATTGATGTTTAGTTTTCAACTTAACGAATTAGGTAGATTTCTTTTAATTTTTTGTCCTCGAAAATAGTAATATAATATATTTTCCATAGTGTTTATAGTAGTATAGTATTAATAAATTGCAATAGTAAAATCCGTTCATAAGTTCATTCATAACCGTATAACATGTTATTTTTTTGATGAGCATATATTTATGTAACTAGCGGCCGCCAGCGACTTCGTACGCGTGGAGTTAGTTATTTGCACATACTTTTTCACCCCAAAAGGGGGTTTATTTCTAAAGATGCATTATAAGTACATCTATGACTTTTAAAAACATCTATTGTCCTCGCCCACATGTGCAAATTTAAATTATTTATATCCAAAAAGTGCTTATACATGTAATTAGACTTGATGTTTTTGAAATCTCATAGATGGCGCTGCTTTAAAATTGTCTATTAAGTTTATCGGTCTAAGTTACTTATAGTGTGAAGCTAGCTTATAACATGGATCGTGGAAATTAAGCAACTTTCGCAGTGGTCGGTTAATAGATGGGTGACCAAAATTATTCATATTTACTCGAGTTCCTCCGTGCTTTGGAAGGCACGCTATGCCGTTGGTCCCGGCTACAGCTGCAGTCGTTAGCACCCACCAATCCGCACTGGGCCCGCTTGGTGGATCTTATCCATAGGGAAGGACTGTGTCCCACGAGTGGACATTAATACGCTGATGATGACGATGATAATATATATACTTTCCGTAAGAGAATCAAAAAAGGTTTCGTCATGACATGACATGACATGTTATTTGTAAACAGAAGTCAAAAACGTACCTATTATTGAAATTCCACACCCAGCATACACCTCACTTTTACACCATAATGCTTAAAAAAAATATCATTTTGCACCAGCAAATCACAAGAATTTGATTAAAATAATTGGACGTAGTTACGCGAAAACGTTCCAACCCACAGCGACCCCATTTTGAGATAAACGCAATTTTGTGTTTTAGCGGTACACTTTTTCCCTGTAATTATTTCAGGCAAATACTATTGGTGTTACTGTGGAATGCCAAATTGGTTATTGAATGATATGCATATTTTTTGTAAATACATAATACAAGGGGCATATAAATAGGTAAAACGAGTTTGAAACGTTTTCGCTAAATTTAATTTTGTATGAACCTTGTTAAATAGCAATTATGCATAAACGTTCCAGAACGAATTTAAGTGTATTATTTTATAAATATATCTAAAATAAATATGTAAAATAATAAATAACAATGAGGAACATACAAAAACAACAAAAATTTGAAAATGTATTACAAAAAAAATAGAACGTGATCTTTTGAGCTTTGAACCTATGCCAATTTGCTGATATGGTTCCAAAAGTTATCAAAAACTTATATTATAAACATTCAATTTTCATCATCGTATTCTATGATCTCGAAGTCCGGAACTCCACCAAACCCATCAACATCATCAGTGCTTCTTCAGAACAGAAGGCAATCCACTTCCTGTGCACCTCTTCCTACCTCTCCTTCTACCAATACATAACAATGCCCAGTATCATTAGATGCACTATGGATACCACTATTGTAGAACTAAGTAAAAAAGTTAAACCTCTTCAAGTTTACAAAATGACAAAGACTGATTTTATAGTACAACTAAACTGGAAAAGAAGATTATCAATAGGAAGAAGTTTACAGACTCATCTAAAGTTAGTTGGCTACATACAAAAGAAATTAAGTTGGATAAAGATATAATTTTTTCTATTTTTATGCGGTCTACGATGGAAGACGATTTCAATGAGTTGAAAATTGATAAAAGAATAAAACGAGAACTACAATACATAAAAGAATCTGATTTTTGCTTATTGTGGCCTAACGACAAACCGATTGCTCCAGCGAAATTAGTGGACTTACAATCCATGTACCACTACATACCCGAGGATTGCCTTCAATTTTATAGAACGCTTCAAAGTTCTGAAGAAGCACTGATGATGTTGATGGGTTTGGTGGAGTTCCGGACTTCGAGATCATAGAATACGATGATGAAAATTGAATGTTTATAATTATAAGTTTTTGATAACTTTTGGAACCATATCAGCAAATTTTTGGCATAGGTTCTAAACTCAAAAGATCACGTTCTATTTTTTTGTAATACATTTTCAAATATTTTTTTTGTTGTTTTTGTATGTTCCTCATTGTTATTTATTATTTTACATATTTCTTTTTGGTTTATTTTTATAAAATAATACACTTAAATTCGTTTTGGAAAGTTTATGCATAATTGCTATTTAACAAGGTTCATACAAAATTAATTTAGCAAAAACATTTCAAACTCGTTTTACCTATTTATATGCCCCTTGTATTATGTATTTACAAAAAATATGCATATCATTCAATAATCAGTTTGGCATTCCATAGTTAAACCAATAGTATTTGCCTGAAATAATTACAGGGAAAAAGTGTGTAAATTGCGTTTATCTCAAATTGGGGTTGCTGTGGGTTGGATCATTTTCTCGTTACTACGTCCAAATATACCATAGTTATTTATTTTGGTAAAAAATATCTTATTCTCTAGAACATACTTAATAGCAAAAATGGATCAAGTATATGTGGATTGTTTATAGCAAAAAATTAGAAAATAATATATTATAATAAAAGGTTTCAATTTATTTAGAACAGTGTTCGCAGCTTAAAAAAACAGTATGGATTAATCTAAAAGGTTTCAAATTACATGGAACATTTTTGCAGAAATAAAAAATGTATAAAGATTTTGCAAAAACGTTCCAACCCACATGGATCATTTAAGAAACCATTAAATGTGCGTTTTATGAATTTAGTATAATGTTCCAAGACAAGTGGAACATTATAACGATATGTTATTCTATTAAGAGTTTTTAACAATATGTTTCAGTATGCATGTAATGTTTTTACTTTATTTTGAGTACACGTCCTTGGCATAATGGTGGGTTGGAACATTTGGGTTAAACTTTATTGATGAAACTAACCTAAAAATACTAGCATCTTTGTGTGCACATGATGTAATATGTCAAAAATAGTACCCTGGTTATGGTAACTCATTTTCGAGTGACTTGTGGGTTGGAACGTTTTCGCGTAACTACGTCCAATTTGTAGTTAGCATTAATAGGACTTCAATCCGGAAGAATATGAGCCATATTGTTTATTGGAAGCACCGCAAGTGTTCTCATGCATAATGAAAGTTACGACTAATGACTACCATTTTAAACAATTTTATTAGATACTAGTGGCCCGCCCTCGCTTCGCTTCGGTGTAGAGCTGTAGTGTAAACTATAGTTTTTGTTCTCAGGCTTGTGCTATAAAGAATGACTTTATTTATACAATTACACGTGATATTGTGAATCAACCATAAAAGATAGACATATGCTGTTGCGGGATATTTTTTAGACAATTTTATGTAGAACATTTCCGTCATACATGATTTCTATGTAACTTTAACCATTAAGGCTGCACCCGCGACGGAAGCTTAAAAAATGGAGTAACTTCTCCCGTTTTCCCAACATTTCCCTTCACTACTCTGCTGCTATTGATTGTAGCGTGATGAAAAGTATACTATAACCTGCCCAGGAGTATGAAGAATAATTGTACCAAGTTTCGTTAAAATCCGTTGAGTAGTAGTTTTTGTTTCTATAAGGAACATACACACAGACAGACAGACAAAAAATTTACTGATTGCATTTTTGGCATCAGTATCGATCACTAATCACCCCCTCATAGTTATTTTAAAAATATATTTCATGTACAGAATTGACATCTCTACAGATTTATTATAAGTATAGATGTTATTCTTTTAAATAAAAATAAACTCATTTTTAGTTGCATTGATATCAATAAATTAACTGCAATCAAACATAAATTCTAATTTAACTTTCAAACTGTATGTTCTAGTACTTATTTATGGTGATCGGGATAATGTGAAAACTACGCTTGATATGACATTTCCTTACGACGTTTGCAATGGGACTATAGACATAGAGTACATTGTTATATATAGAAAACTATAGACTGCACTGAGCTTGCCTCTTCATTTTTACCACTCTACACACCCACTACCCGTACCAGACATACATCATCTTTCTTTTT